CTTATAATAGCAAATACTGTTAACTCTCCCAGTGTATGGACTATACCTCTCAAATGAAGGTACATACAGACACAAGTTATACCAGATCAAGTGGTGATCCTCATTTCTTTCAGTGGCAACAGATCAATGCAGATACCCCCAACCAACCAATCAATCTCAGTAAAAATGGTGGCTATTTTCTTTAGACTTTTATTTCACAAGGTGGCTGCTTGCATTATCCATGTTCCTAATTGAGATAAACATAAAAAAACAAAACCTTCCGCTATTTGCACGTCTATCCATCATCCCAGGTCTATGGCCAATTCCAACATATGGGATTATTTGTCCAGATAACCCAGAATAATCTAAAAAGAAAATATGGCGGCATCATTGTGGTTGTACGCTGGGCAAGAGAATCAAAATCTGTATTTATCTATTGATAGTACTTTAGTACACTTTGCTCTTCTACCCACCTTCCCCCACAGTTTACAGTACATCTATAAACCAGTTCTTTACTGTGCAGTTTGCCAGCTGCTGCAAAGCCTTTGGCCAAAAACTGTAACCACGCCTATGTGTTACGGCCTCTATTTCCGTTTAATGAAAAGTCGTTCCACGGCCTGTCAGATGGGCATACTATCGATATGATTGGAGGCAGTGACACACATCCAGGACAAACGTTAAAGACTTTGGCCAAAGATTGAATGGCGCCAAACAAGCCTGAGTATAGGTTAAGAATAGGTTAAGAAAATTGCTGAGGGAGGGAAGGACAAAAATGGTTAAGTGCATGAAAAGTAAAAGAATCTTTTAAGACACACTAGTAATAGACAGATCAGGGCAAACAGAGGAATTACAAACAGGTTGGCCAATTCATACTACAAAGAGCACTTGCAACAATTGAAGTACCAAAGGGATTTCTATTTTTGTTTAAAAAGGTTTATTTTCTAAAGGTATGTCTGAATCAAAGCAAGTAACATCCAACTCTATATTAATATATTTACACAAGAGACATTGGCAGAGATCACCTAATGGTGTCAACATGATGTAAAGAATAGTAGTCAATACATTAACAGCCACTTAATCCAGTAGTACCATGGATTGCAGACTGCAGTAAAGGAAAAACACTGTATATTACCGGGGTCCCCCAACTTCTCCTTAAGTTTTGATTTATATGTGTTCTTTTTTTATTTAGTTAACATGATTTTTTGCCAGCACAAAAAATAAGGGGGGGGCTGAATTCGTAAAGACTGCCAGAAGATAACACTAAACCAGACAATGCCCAGAGTAGAACGATCAGTGGTCTAACAAAGGATACTGGACATTTTTCCCTTTGCTGTAAGTTTAATTGCAGGATTATACAACTGCCCCTTTTCTGGCAGCATCTCCAATGTGACAGTCTAACGAGATGGATGAGTAATTCCCTGAGGGAGCAAGGTATATTTATATATTTTACAGATTCTATATACATATTGCACATTAGAAGGAGTGGGGGAAAGTGCAAACCAAATAGTAATTATTACACAATTACAGAAAGATTCCTGGAATGTTCTAAAGCAAGTACAATAAAAAAACCAACATAGAAAATGCTAAATGAACATGCAGCAGCTTATAATAAGGATGAGCATTATAAAACACATTTAAATGGATGGGATACTGTGTGCAGCTATACAAAACAATTTACCTACAAGGGAATAAACCCCCCAAAAAACATTCTGAATCTGGCACTAGCCATTGGAATTGCAGAAGAGAATGTCAAAATCAGTTAATCCTTATCCCATAACCATACACAATGTGGGGCTTTCCCACTGTCACTGGGTTGTAAAAGTCTGTTTGTATTTTTCAGCCAAACACATGCACATGTGTGGTTGTATGCAAATGTGTTTGGACATGCATGTTCATTGGTACCCTATCTTTAAAATAGCAGTCCGTTACAGCAGTAGGCACAGTGAAGTAGCTGTGAACCAAACACATAATCTGCTAACTAGTTATCACTCTCAAGTGTCATTGATTGCTTACAAAAAAAAATAAAAGTGACACTAAACTCAGGAGTTAAATCTTAAAAAATGTATTTTAACTATTAACAAAAATGTATCTTATTTGTGTATCACTCAGTTGTAGATCCTCAAATCATCTCTGAATTGGTGCTGGCACTGTCCTTCCTTCTGGAGGGTGGCTACTTTTGTTCCCCATGGTCCCTGTGTGTGTTGTAAAGTTGCCACCGCCCCAAGCTCACTCCTGCAATGGACTACAATCTCAATACAAATTATTAAACTAGATGTGAGATTGAAGTCCATCACAGGAGTGAGCTTGGAGCGGTGACTTTACAACACACACAGGGACCATGGGGAACAAAAGTAGCCACCCTCCAGAAGGAAGGGCAGTGTCAGCCCCAATTCAGAGATGATTTGAGGATCTACAGCTGAGTGATACACAACTCAGATACAGTTTTGTTAATAGTTAAGGTTAAATGCCTTTTTAAGATTTAACTCCTGAGTTTAGATTCACTTTAAATATTACTTTGTAATGAAAATCTGAAGCTCTATGACTCTTACAATAAAGGGGGAAGGAGGCAGAGTGTAGTAGTCAGTGTTTCTGCTACACTGTACCATTGCCTCACTGCCTATGTAGCAAAAAAGGGCAGAAATCCCATAGTGAAGAAGTACTAATCCCCTTCACACAGGCAGGCTGAACAGAGGATGAGATGCTTGCAGTGCAGTGCAGTTGAGGAGAGCTTGTCCAAACACACACACACCAAGTATATTTGGGTCCATCAGCCATGTAAAAATAATTTATAAAAATACTGGTTAGGTTTTTAAAGATACGGGAGCTTTCTTCACAAGCAGCGTGTCAAAATTTAATATTTACAAAATGAAAATACCGTCCTACAGCTAATGCCCCATCCTTTCAATGCTGCATATTCATCTTTGCATTACAACTTAGGAAAACAAAAACCAGCAAGGTTTACAATGTCTGTATACAACTAAGATATTTTGGCTATGGCACATTTAAGAAAATGAAACACTTTTTTTTTACATTTTTGTTTTTATACCAGAGACAGAGTTCTTGAAAATACAAAGCTTACCTTTGATTTTTTTTTTTTGATTCCTTATAAAATTTGTACAATAATTGTTTTGTTTGTAACATTTTTTTTTCACATTACAAAAATCTGTTTTATCATTGTGACCACTAAACAAATCACATTTTTATTGCAGGAATAGTTCAAGTGCCTTTAAATATTTATATAAGGGATAAAAAAATAGACTTTTTTTTAATTATGCTTTTTAAAGTGGTCCAAACATTGTATTAAATATTGTAATTCTATCCATTACCCACTTTAATTTTCAATAACACTTAAAGCAGCCAAAAACATACACACAAACACACACCTGTAATATTTGATTGAACATAGCTATTTGGGATTGTACAACAAAACAATCAACACAGATGCCATTATTATATATATCCATTTTGTGCCACTGTGTCACCAAGCGCATTAAGATTTCGAATAAAAATATTTTATTATCAATCCTGCATAAATGGTGTCAAACAAAAGGTGGAAGTTATAGCGACATAGCTCCAATGGATCTTCAAATGAGAGGCAGAGCTCTACAAAAATAACCTTGTCTAACAATAATACTATAATAATATTTGTAATGCATTGTAAAGGGACAATATTTATTCATAGCCAGTTTTAAGCAATGTTCAGCTGGTGTGATAGACCAGAGCCCCAACCTGCGGTGGGCAACAGCAACTTTATATTCAGCTCATTGTAACATATACAGTAAAGACTGGGTGCTACTAAGTTCAGCATAGGTATCTACACCCTAAGCCCCTTCCTCTCCACATTCTATTCTCTTTTAAACACCAGTAATACTTATGTGGTCGCCCATTTCAAAACTTCCTCTAAGCTAAACTTCTAAGCTACAATTTGTTAACACTGAGTGTATTAGGAGTACTGATGTGCACTGCGGGAGGGAAAGAGATTTGCTCACAGACTGTCACTTGGAAACCCCACAACTTATAAAGAGTGATAATCAGCTGCAGCAAAGCTTGGGTGCCAACTTCAATGGCAATGGTTACAAGAAGGAAAGGAGCAATATTAAAATATTGCACAGGGCACCAGAGAACCTTAGGTTGCCTTTTTGGTATCAAAGTCAGCCCTCAAGGGTCATGGGCCTGGCAGCCTCTGCTTTCACAACTCCAGTTGTTGCTATTAGATTTAGAAGCTGTTGAATGGAAGTTCTACCCACTGTTGTGTAAGCAGGACATACAGTGCTATGATATGTGGTAATTAACCACAGAAGGCAATGAATACCTAAATTGTGTGCCATAATTTTGCTTACCCAACATTCTTACTTTTTTTGTGCTGCAGCACCTTGTGGCAGAATATATAAAGGTAACTATAGATTACTACAACAGGACATAGCAGTGATGTTGGAGATGCAGGGAGGACCCGCAGTAGCCCGCAGGGACGCACCTAGAAGTATCAGATAGCAGCAGTGTATAGAGCTCTTTAAGAGCAACATTTCAACACACCACCCGCCAGAAAGGTATTCAACTTCTTTTTCAGAGTACTTTCAGATCTGTTTCTTTGAGGAAGTGACGAGATCGCTTTCAGTCTCTTGTTCAGTAATTGCCAGCTTAAATTTTACATGGCATATTTTGTTACAGTATAATGATGTATGAATTTCTTCAATACAGATTTCAAAGAAAAAGGAACATGCAAGAAAATGTCATTGCGGCAGGAGCAGACCTGTTGTGATTAAAAATAATTATGCTGTAAGACACTTGGTGACACAATGGGACAAAAAGGACAATGGCGAATGTGCTTTGTCTATTTGGCTGCAGTACGCCGCACACCAATTACTCTTGTATGCATCCAAACAAGTAGCTGACCGCTCTTTACGTTCTCATTGACACAGGGGTTACCTCAACCCCGTTCAGTACCAGATTTATGGGAACGGTAAAGCAAATTAACTGGACCAGCCTTTTCCTCCCCCGTCCCTCACAAAACAGCAGCAGTAACCACCCCGACACCCTCTTAATAATCTATTGCTTTTACACTAAGTCGCAAATTCCTGATGTGTACATCAAAATACATTTAAAAAAAACAAACATAAACACATTTCACTAAACATATGGAAAAAGAGCAGTAGGAAATTAACAAAAAGGTGCAAACATAAACAAAAAAGTGCCACACTGAAACAGACCAGAATAAGTCTACATCTGGGCCCTATGCTTTAAACAATATCTCTGTAGCCATATAAAGGTTCATGCCCACGTACCCTGTAATACATATATATTTATATATAAATATTATTTTGCTTGTATTGCTAGAGACGTTAGAAGTCTCATGGTTAAAATGCAGGTGTGGTTCTTTCTCACCAGCCTGCCCTGCAGTTGGTCCTTAAATTCTCTCCTTTACCTCTTGTAAACAATAACCCTGGGGGGGGGTGAGAGGTCAAGGACAAATGTCTGTGCATGTCACCAGTCTCCTCCTGCACCCAGGTTTGCGTAAAGTGTCTTGGTTCCTCTATCCCATGTATACATGCACACATGTGTGCACGGCTGGATTCTTATGAAGCAGTTGCTTGTTCCAGGTATGAACAGTAAGCGGGCTGTTCTATCCCTCCAGTTGCATGGCTGGCTCATATTCAGAGGTAAAGAGTTCCTTGTATAGGGGAGGGAAGTGATGTCTCACAATGTCTGGATATATTGCTTTAAACGACATGAGTTTCTCCGTGTGACGACTACACAACGCGCGTAGCGTGGAGACTTTGCATATTAACTGAAATGTAAAAGAGAAAAAGAAAGGCTTGCATCATAAAGTATATAAAAACGATATAAAGATAAAAATATGAATAGAATCCAGTGACTTTTCAAGTAGCTATATACTGACCAGCTGATGCTGATTTACTAGTGGCCTGATTATATGGCACGCCCACCAAACTGTGAACAACTCTATGAAAGAAAATGTAACATGATAGTAATGTGGAAGCTACTCTACCACATGACCAACAGTTTGTGGACACCTGACCCTCCTCCCTTGTAGTGTTTGGTTATGAGCTTGTTGGACATCCAATTCCAAAACCATGGCCATTAAAATGGATATGGCCTTTTCTTTGCTGCTGTAAAAGCCTACACTTTTCTGAGAGAGTTTTGCAGAAGCATTTGGAGTAGGTATGTGGGACTATCGACTTTACAAAGAAGCTCTTCAACTTCTGCGCTTGTTCAATAAAACAGTGCAGAGGTCCAAAGTGCAGTATTTACAGTACCCTCTTTAATCCAAGTCTGACTTTAGTAAAGTAAATTCTATTCAGTTGTGATGGGCTACTGAACCCTTGTATGTTCTTTGACCAAGCATGCTAAAGGATGTGGTCTCACCTTTGTTAGAATTCCATCATCACGATGGTTCTTTTGAAGAACATGCTGCAGTGTGAGCTGGATTTTCTGCTGGAGTTTCTCAATCTTCAGTTTCTCCTGAAGCCATGACCGATCTAAAAAAAAGTGGGATCATAAAAAAAAGCTATCATTTAGCATTCAGTATGGAATATAACACACCATATGGCAATATTGCTGAGCCCTATGACAAATAACCATGAAATAATGTGGTACTCAACAGAGATGAACACTTCAAAATGCCCAAACATTTCTACTCTGGAATGTCCATCTGCATTGATTTTATATTTGTCACATGGTTTTCTTATACCTGTTGTAATATATGAGGTGCTAGCACAGGCTAAATGAATAAGGCCTCATTCACACAGATGGCAATTTGTGTATATCAAGAGTAAAGTTTAGCAACCAAAGTAGTTTGCTAGGGGCAGCTTGTAAAAAAATATAATAGAAATGAAAAAACCCCTCATGCTCTTTGCATTGTAAAAGCCCTCTACAGGCTAGTTTGCCTCTGCCTCAATGAAATCAAACAAGAATTTTGCTAACTATTATTTACATCTAAAGTAAAAAAGGGCATCCCTAGCTTTTTTGCCACTTGAGAGTGGGTTGCTAAAAGCTGGACAGAGAGATGTGTATGGCCCTTAACCAGGGATGCTTTGGCTGAAAAGGGGGCAGCAGGCACACTGCCCTACGTGACCTAAAGTAATGCTGCCTCATTATGGGGATGGCCCTGAAACTGAACATAACATAACCCCAGTGTCATTTGAGAACCACAACACTACATATGTTCAGGAATTTAAAAAAAGTTATGGACTGTGTGCGGCCACTGACCATTATAGGTGTACTGTACAGTATTTAACATCCTCACCTCCTGACATGAGCACAAAGGCAGAAAAAAGAGCGATCTCATCCTCCGTCAAATGCAGGGAGCACAAACTCTTGCCAAACTCAAACACAAAACTCATAAAATCTTCACAACCTACAGAAAAAGACAATAATAAAACACAACCAATGTCACATGAGAAAATATTAATAAAAATACACCAAACAGGGTTACATTTTTGATTGAGGCTGTGAGCCAGTTAACTATATGTAAACCCTAACAATGAACTTCCCTTATTTGCTCACTTGTGATCTGTAAAATATACCATTAGGACCATTTGTTATACGTTCAAGTGCTGAAAAATACTTGATGAACCTGTCAGAAATCTTGTGAGCTGATAAAATTCTGTGCTCTCTGTCTGACTGTAATAAGTTAGCATTGTTCCCAGCACTCTCTGAGGACTGCAGAACAACTCACCCCTTGTTATGCAGAAGGGAAGAGAAGTTATATAGTACTGTCCTAGGGTGACAACACTGTTCCTGAATATATGCAGTATGGTGAGTGCGCAGTCTCACCCTAGGAATAGAAGTATGTTACTGGCAGAATCACCAGGTAAAAATAAAGGAAAAAGAGTCTGGGAAGAAAAAGAAAACTAAAAGCAGCCACTACATCTAAAGACTTGGTAAGCTGCAATAAATTACATTTTTGCTTTTGGGTTTAGATACACTTTAAGTGAATACTGCAACAGGAGCTCTATTAGATGTCCACAGTCATAAAATAATTGTAAAGTCTTTATAATATTTTATACTTGCAGTACAGCTAAAAGATAAATTAGGTGCCGATATACTTTTAAAAATATTAATTTAAACAGCATGTTTTCACAAATGGTCAATTGCTTATCAGCTTTCTGTGCAGTTAAAAATGCACACACTCTTATGTATCTGCAATAAAATTAGGACCATATTGGCTGTTTTTCAAGATAATGGACGATATGGGGAAAATTCCTCTTTAACAACAAGTTTGATATATGTGGTAGGAAAAGGGAGCAGTTTGTGTACCAGAAAAAACAAAACACCATAGGGCTGTAAAAACTGTTTGTTTGGACATAACAATCAATCTGCCTTGTCACGGATGGTTCACACCACCGTACTTCAAGGGCGTTGAGGTGGTGTGTGCTGAAAATGCAGCACTTTTTTTCAGTGCAGCGAGATGGGAAACAGTACATCTGCCTCGCACCCCACTCTGCCCACAGAACTTAATGAAATAAAGGCCTACTTTCTTTCATTTTTGTATATTTATTTCATGCAATGTTATGAAAATGAACAAATGACATGATTGCAAAACAAGAAACAGACCAAGATTATGCTGTCAAAACAACAGCCAGTTCAGACAAATTCTTACAGAACTGGAGCTGTGGCAGTGGCACAGGGTGTAATAGGTGCACCCAAGGTACATTGCTGATGGTTTTTAGGAAGCATACCTGGTGATATGCCCTTATTATAGAACTGGTTGAATTATCGTATATGGGTAAAAGAAAAAGAAAAAGGGTTTTATTGCTTTTTATTTAGCTGATTTCATTAACTAAACTCCATATAATAAACACATTCATTTAATGAGAATTCTTAAAGGAGAACTTCAGCTAAGTTATCTTCTGATAGCTAGACAAAGTAGAGATTTCCATCAGATTTGTATTGCTTTCTTTTCCCCCCTGGACTGTGTTCCCCCTCAGTTCCTGTCCTAGTGTATGCAGTCAACAAAACATGTGGGAAAAATTCTACAACAGGGACAACAATACAAATATAATTTTAGTGTGAGTTTATAAGGGGTAACTCCCTGTCAGTATGTTCAGTGTTGCCAACTTCCTTGCTGGGGAGATTGTTATCACTTGCTGTCCCTTAGGGGCACAACAGTAAAACATGTCAACGGCTTTATACCTTTCTTGCTCAATCCAAAGGAAAAAAAGACTTGGCTGGAGTTACACTTTTGATGATACCTCAAATATTTTATACAAGCTGGGCCACGGTCCTAAGCTGTGTTTTTTTAAAAACTTTTTTTTACATGACACTGAACAAGTAACACTGTGTTTTATAAAATACTTACCAAGTGATTTGAAGACTTCTATGCCTGCATATTTGCCATCAAAATATACGGTGTTGTTTTGTGAATCAAAGGCACGACACATTCTGATGAAAACAACTTCTAAGGAACCTGCGGAGGGTATCAAAAGCAAGGTGAACATTGTAACCTAGGTTATTTTAAAGTGATTACATACTGCTTGCCTCATAATGATGTCAGATGATAAAGGGACTTATAGATGCAACCAAATTTAGATTTCTCTTATTTGAGAAGAGGCTGAAACTATGACACAGGATATAGGGTTATCTGAATATTTATTCAATCCAAACACTATTCTAAAAAGTTGGTACTTTCTACATACTGCTATATCTACACATTGCTCCTTTATGCAAAACAAAAAGAGATTTCCTAAATAAGAACAATAAAGATAGATATATCGTCATTAAAAGGATCATTTCTAATTGGTAGCTATAGGTTACTGTATCTTGCACATAATAATCTTTGTGGTGCCTTACTAGAAAACAGAAGATATGTCACAGCATGAAATCAAATTGCAACGTTTCAGAAACACGCAGCATCCTTTCATCAGGCAAAGTGTCAAAACAAAGCACCCATCTAAAAAGGGGTATACTGTATCTGTACGGTGTGCAAAGATTACTGGAAATACTTTTTATCTAATAAACAGAGCAAGAATCTGGCCTGCAAAGAGTCCTGACCTCAACCGGATGAATTAGAGCGGAGACTGTGAGCCAGGCCTTCTCATCAAAGCAAAACTCTGGGTAAACTTTTTCTTAACCCTTGCAGTGGAGCTACCCCCCACACTGCAAGGGTTAAATGCTAATTATTTTTTTTGCGGAGGAGGAGACAGGCAGGAGGGAGTGTTGTCACAGCCAGCCAGCTTGGAGGATCGGGTGAGTATATCTTTGTTAGTTTTGAACCTAGATAAAAACAAGCACTTAACCCTTGCAGTGCATGCAAGAGTTAGGAAAAATGTTACCTGGAGTTCTGCTTTAAGTCACTTTTTGTGTTACTTAACTGAAGCAGAGAAAAATCAGGTTTTCCCCTGCCAGAAAGGGCTGTGTTGTGTGACAGGGTTTTGCAAATCTCAGGATTGGATGGAAAGAGATATATATCTTTTGGGAGGTAAAACAGACCCCGCTTCGCCCTATACTGTATATTTCATCTGCGTATTTAGGCTCTAAATTGTTACTAAAACAGTATACATTTCAAATGTAAAAAAGTTCTGTACACTCTTCACTTTTAAACGTCATCTTTGGATTTACCTGCTTTAAGCAACACTATCTGATCATTCTGACACAGCTCCATGAACCCATCGATGCGCTTGGCAAATTCCACCACATACTGAATGGCCTCTGTTATTTTGACTGCACAAAGCTGCCACATCACTTCTCGTTGCTGTAAAGGAAAATCAAATTGAAATTAGCAAATCAAATGTCTTCTTCATAAAGTGGTAGGAGAATCATGTTAACGCACAATGTAATACCTTATTTACTCCACAAGGGGCAGCAGCAGCATTACATTTCAACTATGGTCTGACAACTGCATAGAACTCTGTAAATGCCAATAAAGTAATCAGCATGCTAGACATAGTTGAACTATATAGCCAACGTATTGTATTAATCCTAATGATGTCATTATCTACCATTTCCTATTTAAACCACATTACCAGTGTGGCTTCTTTTGTTTAATCTCAAAGACACCTGCTACAATGACCGACTAAAACTATCATTTGTCAGCACAGGTTGACCAAATAAGTCTTACTGCATGCCACTAGGATTTAATACAGGCAAACTCATGCGGTGTATGGAAAAATAAAAATATTGACTTGGGACTATAGTAAAAACGTATTTCTTTCTGTGGATAAAGTGGTTAGAGGGGTTAGAACTTATGTCAGGGGTTTTACTGCTGTCTGTGTGCCAGGGAACAAAGGAGCTATAGGTGGCCATACACTGAGAAATTCGCTGATGGCACCCTTTCGGCCGGCATCCCTCCATCAGTTGATCGAAGGAGCTGGTCAGAAAATCTTCCTACGACCTGAGCCAGCAGCCAATAAGCTGCTGGCTCTGATCCGGTTCTCTGACAGGGGCTGGAAGCCGCTGTCAGAATACAGACAAAACAGTGGGGAGTCCTCAATCAACACACGCGTTGCTTTGATGGAGAAATATGCTCTATTTTTTTACGTTCAGCCCGCGGGTTGAACAAAAAACAACAACAAAAAAACAGAACCGTATATGGCCAGCTTATCCAACATATTCCATTAGGTACACTTGTTTTGGGGACAACTGTCAAAGGTGTGATTTTTCCCTCACACTGGGGAGATTTCTACTCCCTTCATGTCATGTCTACAACAGGGAGCGAGGACGAATTTCATTGATGGGGACTTACGACAGCTATAGAAATCTGGCAGGGTTTCTGACCTTTCTCCACTCTCTGCAAATCTAGAAAAAATGTTTTAGCAAGAGTTTCATATTTTGTAAAGAATTATAACATTGTTCTCCTTCCTTTCAATTAGCGAGTGGCTAATTACAACAGGATGCAGAGACCATGTCATCCCCTTTTATTGCATCATACAGAAGAATAAGGAAAGTTTTATTGCACTCAATTTCCTTCATTCAGATCCGCACAGCAAAGGCCGAGGAGGTGCAGTTACATGAACCCTAATACTTCTTTAGTGTTTCCACATGAGTCTACTACAGTCAATTGTACCCATATGGCCCCTCCTTCCTTAATAGCAGCGATCACTAAAATCCCGAGTGTTGGATGCTGGGGGTGCAGTAATGTCACATGACAGTGCTTGGGCCTAGGGAATGCCTTCTAGACCTGAGCACTGTCACAATGAAGGGGGGTCACACTCCTTTTCATAACTGAAAGCACTGGGTATTGTCACTGGCTGTGATGGAGAAAAGAGCAGCAAGGAATCACTTGTAATGTTCTGAATGGGCAAGGTAACAGTGTCTCTTGTACACCAACACTGTAGCACTTGGTCCTTTTACTGCAGTACAGCACATAGCACATAGCATGTCCTGAAGACATCTGGAAAAGGCAAGTATTAAGATATGAGAGGGCTGCTGCTGACATAAGATTGATACACCAGGAGTGCTTTGTTCAGTATGTCTACAGACCCACATACTTGTATTGTGACTAAATAATGCAAAATAAATGTGTAGCCCTGCAGGAAGCAGAACCTGCGCATGTAATGCTCAAATATGGCTGCCCCACATACATACTGTGTACAATTACTAATTATACATTGAAACAGAGTTTCCAAATGCTCAAGATATATTGTTATTATTTACATCAAACTGATCTCTTTTTATTCGTGTATCTAATTAACCATTGAAAAGACTATACATTTCCTGCTACAATTAGTACCTCCACAAATTCTGCTCCTACAAGCATACAAAGGCAATGTTTGCAAACATAAGTTTAATGTGGGGATAAAAAACCTTTGCTGTGGCAGAATGATATTTGCAGTGTGGAACAAACCCTCCTCTTTCTACAAAGGGTATTCTAAACTGGCACACTGCTTGGAAACCAATACCTCAATCTGACACTGCCTGTGTACTCAAGGGGAGTTATGCTATGAAATAATGAATGCTTTTATTCACTGCTTTCTTTATCTCCCTTCCTCTGCCCTATTCCCCAGCTTCTCTATGCATTTTCCTTTGGTGTTTCCTGTATGAAAAATGGTAATAAAAATACAGTATTATAAATGTGCAATAACTCTGCTTATAGTACTGTATGAAACAACAATGCATATGCTGTATGTATTAAAAAAATAAGTTGCTTATATTCAAAATGCTGTGCTTTCAGTCTTCTTTTTTGTTACCAAGCAACCTCATTTGCTTAATAATGAAAAACAAGAATTTTTGTGACAATGATATTCCGATCAGAAGAATAAAAATCACACATGAAAGGTGGTTATTTTTTGATTATACTGTATTTTTTGGTTTATTTTTTAATTATACCAAAGCTCTCCTAATTCTGGAATGAAATAATGACCTGACACTTGGCTGCATGTCCGGAAGTCACGTCTGCACAAATGTAGCGGTTATCGGGTAATATTTTACCTTGCTCTGATAGCTTTCAATCTCTTCCTGGAGAAAGGTTTGCCATGTTATCTGCTGGAGCTCTTCACGTAAATACTGGCAGGTTTCCATATGGGATTTGGAGATGTTCTGAGCAAGATGTTCTGTAGACGACAAATAATAGTAATCAAAATGTCAAACAGAAATCACTGCTTTCTGTAAGGGAACGGGTTAAATGTCAATCAACGAAACCTGCACTGCAGTAATTCAGAAACTATACTTGTTGTGGAGTGTTCTACTGACAAAGTGAACCTGTACTCCATTTAAACTTTTTTACGTAAACTGCACAATGGGCTATGTCCCATTACCGACTCTGTCGCTGGCAAGTTGTCATTAGGACTTAACTCACATTCTCCTATGGTGTTGCATCTTTTCTGCTTGAGGCCCTGAGATGCCGCTTTCTGGCTGCTCCCCAGCTAGCGATTAAAATTGAGCGGTTTCAGACGATCAGGAAGCGACATCCATTAGTTAAAGTGGCAGCTGTATTTCAGTGATGCTGCCCCTGCTGAGGTGTTGCCAATGGGAGACCCATCATTGTCATCACAGGATGTCTGACATTAGCCAGAAAAGCTTCTTCTGAGCCATTCTCTGATTTAGCTTCACTTGGTTACTGGGGCTCGACTTTCTCCCACTTTAGTTTTAAGCCCTACCAATTGCCTGAAAAGATTGTTTCAGTAGTCAATGAAGGCATTAACATTGCACAGGGGGATAACAGTTGGTGGGGCTTGACCATGACTTGAGGAATATCAGGCCCCAGTAAATAAAGTCAAACTTAAATCAGAGAGGAGCACAAAAGAGGCTTTTCTAGATAATTACAGCAACAGCAAGCATCTTGTTCTGTCTTCTCTCAGACAGCAGACTTCTCTTAAAACTGTGAATCTATGTGGGCCTTATAGAGTGAAAACTATTTCTAACATAATAATTTATTTCAAGTGTAAGAAATATGGCAAAGATGGGTTTCCAGACATAACAGAGATTTACAGAATAATGAAAACTTTCAAATAAATAAATACAGTCAGATCTTAACTAAAGAGTTGCCTAAAAACTTACCCATAGTGTTCCAACTTTACAGAGAGCCTGGGGACTAGTTTGTTGGCCTTCTGGACTTTTATTTTAGTTAATTATAATTTGGCACCAATTCTTGGTGTATTGTATGTCGGTGTCCAATGTCACCAATTAACCACAAATCTACCTATCTATCTTAGGAGAAGGACAGGTCACCCAAACCTCAGCTGCTTATTCGTGACTTGGCTTTTCCCTTTTTTATGTATAAGCAGGATTTATTTTCACATTATTCTTTATAAATGTTCAGTAATATATGTATGAACAGGAGCTGCCAAATGTCCGGACTCTTGAGAATCCTAAGCTAACCAATTACATGAACAGAAAGTGTTCCAAAAATGCATTTTCTTTTTCTTCAGCACACTGTCGTCTTCAATATAATTTTCAATCTTGACAGCATCCAAGGCATAAGGCCAATAACAAGACTATAGGATAGAGTTTAAAATGTGATGACATTTCAGATATAGGCATCAATCCAACACTAATTATTTCCAGTGCAACTCACCTAGTTCTGCCATAGAAATAGTTGGGGAGGCTTCTCCATTAGTAAATGAGCAGTACGGGAAGAAGGACGAGGCAGGTGTATAGTCTGGTTCAGGTTTGATTCCGTTGACATCCAAGCCAGACTGGTCTGGGGATGGCTGGATATCCAGGTAGAAGCTGCTCACTGCTGACTCTGTTTTGCCTTCATCAGGCGTGTGCCCTTCCATATATCCTCCCAGATCATCTCTCAGCTCTGTGAGCCCATTGGGGGTCAGACCATATCCTGCAGGAGTTAGTGGCTCTGCCTCCCCTGGTTGCTGCTGGTGATCCCGCTGCTGCTGCATGCGATGCTTCTGCACTTCCGCATATAAGCTGTCCCTCTGCTTTTTGGACATACGGCCAAACTTTACAGCTGGGAGAGAGGTAAAAAGGAATAATGACTAATGTAAAGAAGAAAGGAAATGGAGCATTATTATTTTATTAAAAAAGTCATTTAACATTCATTTTAGAACTTGTATTTTCTTAAGAAATACCCTCTATTGTGTGGATCGAACACCCGAGTACTTACTAAGGAAGAATGCAACATCACCGGTGCAATCAGGTTCTGAAATATTTATTTACGATTTACAATAGCGTTTTGTATTTATTGTCTTCTTATGATGCTTAGGGTTGAAAAATAAAATCATGTATTTGTTTGTTCTTTTTAGTTAGATAACTATTGCACATGATTGTTTCATATTTACAATTTTTAGGCACCTTTTTACATGCTTACCAGCTTAACCTCAACTGCTTTGGTAAAAAACTTGTTTATGGATTCAAACAAAACTCTAAATTCACAGGTGAAGAACACATATGGGAGCTGTATTACTTGCTAAAGTATTTGTATTACTATCCATTTAGCCCTGAGATTTTTCACAGAACTTCAAGGTCAGGAGGATGACAGCATTTTGTATTACAATTATACAATACATTACTGACATAACCCTGTCTCCCATGTGCATTTACTTTTCCCCAAAGTGGCTGACCAATGCAATCACAGCATACTCAGAAGATAGTTGACTGCCAGACAAAACCTAGTCAACTACTTCCTCCAAGGTGCAGAGAAGCCAGTTGTCTGCCAGCGTTACTAATGCGCCTTCTTCCCACTACTCCTCCTTCAATAAGCCAATCATCGCCCTGCAAACTGAAGGGTCTATGGATTTATTTGACCGTACCAAAGCAGACTTGGGGCAGGAGAAAGATTTGAGTGATAAACAAGCCCTACTATCTTCTGATAAAGAGGAAGATAGTGGAATAACCGCAGCAACAGACAGAGAACATGCAGCAGCTGGAGCTCAATGCAAAGTAGTCTCCAGAGAGGAGGTAGTGGAGGATGAGGTGGTAGACCACACATGCATGCCATGGAGGGGAAAAGAGGAAAACTCAGAGGAAGAGGTTGAAGAGCGGTGGGGAAGAAAGTGGTCAAGTGACAGGGGCACCTTGCAGAGGAAATCAGGCAGAAGTCAACCAAATGCTTCTAGCAAAACTGCCCTGAAGGCAAAAGGTCGATGTTACCCCTAATGCCAGTCCTGCCTCCTGTCCAAATTGATATGCAACACCCCTATGTGCTGGAATTCCCCCCTAAATACGCTATAGAGGCTACTGCAGCAGCAATGAACAATCACCCAACACCTCTGCAGGTACGGGACGAGGAGTTTTCACCCGAGTAGTGGCTGGTCAAAGACACTTGCACAGCTGTGGCCCCCTTTGAGGAGGTGAGTAAGGTATGAGCAACAAAACTATCCGCTCAGTTTTCCCCCTTAAAAGCATGTTGTGAGCACTGACAGACTGTGCACTGGAGGCACAGCCGCTGGAGGAAGGGGAGAATTTGAACAAAACAGCAGTAGCCAGTGTAGGGGGAACATAGCAAACATACCCCGTCACTGCTACGGCCACTTGCCAGCCGATGCGGTTTTGTTTACATTTCTGGCTAGCAGCTGTGGTGGTGTGGAGGAGTACTGCAAATGTTATGAATGGATGTCAACGGTGGCTTGCTAGTTTCCAATCACATTCATTCATAACTGCAGGCAGTCCTAGGCATCAGACAGCTCTACGTTTTTGGTTGCTAAAGCACCCATAGAGTTACAGCTTTTGAAACTGCCTTAGATGTAAGAGTTACTAAGTTGGCCAGGTGGAAGGAGTTGTGTTCTGATTTTACCCGTATGTCCATGGCAGTGAAAGGGTTCAATCAAAACATAGCCCATGGAAAAAATGTGCTTATCCGCTTGCAGGCAAAGGTTGCAAATCTCAAGGGTACTGTTGGCAGCAGAAACACTGATAAAGGCCCAAACTGTAGATCTGTGCAGACCCGGTTTGGAGATAATAATGACTGCTGCATGTGTGCCAGTTCTGCCATTATTAGGCCAAGGAAGAGGAAAGTTGGGGGGCTGGAGAGGAGGAGGGAGTAGGACAGGCTTCCAGAGCATTTTTCATCCTTCACAAAACCTGGTATTTTACATGAGGGGGTAAGCAGCTGGACGACAACATTGTCCTCCGTGACACTAATTGTCAAAAAACCACCAGAAAAGAATGATTAAACAAAACAAAAAAACGGAAATGAATTGGTGTGGTGTGGTGCTATATGTAAGCTGCTTCTAAAATAAAAATGAAATCAGTTCCACATCTAAGCATGCACTGCCAGAGTATACTGTCTCTGAGGCTGTCTGTAAATATATTGCTGTTCTGTAACACCACGTACAACTTTAGCACATCCCAATAACCTATAATTTAAAAAGGACTTGTGTATTTCCATCAAAGCTCAATAAAAACTCCCCCTCTCTTCTGTCCTTTATGGCAGTGCCTGGCTTCCTGTGCCATGTACAAATGTAATATCAAGACTTGCTTCCTATAGAGTTCAATGGGGTTTAGGGAAAAGGTTGGATTTTACTAATTTTGATGACGTTTCATGAAACTAATCAAACCTTAGCAGATTCACTCATCCCTTGTACCATTTCCTGAAAAGAACCTCAGTGAAATAGGCCTAACCAATACTGTATTGCATCCTTCACAGTAATAGCTTTCTTTAATTAAAAAGACACTGAGTGAACTATGATGAACTGCTAGTGCTTACAATTTGTGCTGAGAATTGAATGATTACTGCCAGAACAAGTAAAGAAGATCTCTAAGATGCAGCTACAGGTTGCTGCACATAATTGATCTTCCCACCATACTATTAAAACCCTTTACTCTAAAGGAAATAATTGCAATTTCCATGAGCACTAGATATGCTGTGTCTGCTTGGGAGCCCTCAATCAGTACTGGACAAAGCCTGGTCACTGTGGTAACATTGCCTGGTAACAGGAAAACAACCTTTGCTCATGAAGAATGTGTTGCAAACACTGAGGAAGTTAGGCAGAATACACTGCCATCTTGACCACCTTTACATAATCAATGAGGGGCTTGTTGCAGTAGTGAGTACTATATGTGAATGACACATGCATACTGCTGTGAAATTTCTTCGGTACAAGTAAAATGAAGGAAGGACTTGTAGCCCTGTGCTTAGGGAAGAGGAGAAAGATAAAGACTTACACTCATGTGGAAGGCAAGCCTACCTAGTAAAAGGTGGGAAAAAAGAGATACTCTGCTAGTCTACAGCAGTAGACGTCAAGAGCCTTAGTGGCTTTTCTACTACTTGGCCAAGCATGCCCTACCAGCCACTGCTGTCAGTGTTTGCTATGACCTGTAGTTCCTTACCTTAGCTTAGAAGAGGAAAGTTAAAAACATAAATAAGCTGCCACTGCCAACCTCCCTCTGAAAATATTATTTGCCTGGTTGTCTCTGGTGCCAATACTTTATTAATCACTGCCTTCAAATATGAACCAATGAAGACAAAGCAAAGTAGCAACTCCTGATCTGCATGTTTTTTTCCAGGCCACTACCCCAGACACTACTGGCTCCACTGGATCTGTATGACTGCCAGGCAGCCATCATTTTCAGAAGTGAGACCAGTAATGGTAGCCTCCGTATTTACAGAGAAGCTACTGAAATTACCAAAGTTGAGAGTAAAGCATATTGTGCTTTCTTGTAATGGATGTTGAACAGAACTGAAGGCTAGTGCCCCTGGCTACGCTGATGGTAGTGCTGGTTCTTCCAGTCTCTAGAGTGGATACGTGAAAAGCTATGTATTGCTGCACAAGAGTTTCTGCATGAAATAAGGGACTTAAAAGTGAACTTGTAAGGATAGAAGTATGGGAGCTGTCTTTGGTGACTGTTTGTAAAGGTGCTGGCCCCAGGGCTGTCTTCCTGATTCACTACCTACTGAGTCTCATAGGTTCCCTAAAGGTCCATAAGATAATACTTGGAATGCCATCCTAAAGTGGGAAGCAGCTCGTTTTAATGTGCACAGTACAAGGTATGTGATGTGAATAGATTAAGCTCAAGTTGCATATAGTTTGTTTCTGGAGGTCACTTCCTGAATGTTACTAGGCATTGGAGTTGGAGCAAGACAAAAAAATAATGCAATACTTGAGTACAAAGAGTGTCCACCAATATGTCATGTACTTAAATATATACTAACAATTCTGATTATGCTGCTTATTATATCCATGGGTGTACATGTGCAGCACACATAATAACGTCTCACTAAAACTACTGGCTCCTATATTTTGGCTCAGTCTCCTAACTATACGGGAACCCTGTCCATGCCAGCATTTGGTTTAGTAGTACAAAGGTACACACTATAGGTCTTAGGTTTTCATAGGACACAGATCTGTAATTAGATCAGATGTCAATCCTGCACTTCTCTTTGCAGTGAGACCTCATCATAATTTTCAGTGTGAATTAGTGTATTTATATTTTTTTAGACAGCAAAAAAAAAAACTTGAACTGAGATAAATACAGATGCCTATATTGTGGGCCTCCTGAAAATTCTAGCTGTCTGGCAGCATCTGGTCTCCTGAGTCAATAAGCTAGAACAAGCTTGCACATCAAAAAAATTTGAGTGAAGTCACAACTCCTGATCTGCATTCTTGTTTCAGGTAGTGACTCAGAAAGTACTGAAGCCACTTGATTAGCAGGTCAGACCATATTTTGATAGAAACCTATTGGAAGTGAGAATCCCTTCATAGTACTGGAAGGAGGAGCTTCAAGATTTAATCAAACAGAAACTTCTTAGGGCTCTAATTAGGGTTTAGGGCTTCCACATCCAACTTTGTAAGATGTTTAATTACTAAAGTTGAGAATTAAAAATATACTAAGCAATAACATAAAAGGGTGATATTGATTCTTACCATCACGTGACATGCCCACAGCGAGGCATTTCTGCAGTCGGCAGTGCTGACAGCGGTTTCTACTCGTCCTGTCGATCAAACAATTCTTTTGACGCGGACAGGAATATGAAGCGTTGCTCTGCTGGCTGCGTCTGAAGAAACCCTGTGAACAAAGCAAAATGTTAAATGTGTACACAAAAAAACAAAAACATTTTACACACAATGCACTGACACAGTGTTAAAAGGAGAACTATGGGGGTCAGTGTTTTTCCCCATAGTTCTCCTTAGGGTAACGGGAGGACACAAACTAGCGTCCTCCCGTTACTCTAAGCTCAGTATACCGCGAGCTACAGCTTGCGGTATACTGAGACGCCGCACCTGGAGTGGATCCTGACGTAGATGACGGGATCCGCCCAGCTGCGTGAGTGACAGCTGGCTCTGCCTATCTAGAGGCAGAGCCAGCTGTACCCGCCCCCTCCCCCGTCCGTTCCGCCAGTCAGCGCTGGCAGATCGGAGAGAGGGGAATCCAGCCCCTCCCCCTGTCACGGCAGAGAGCCGTGACAGGATCGAGAGGTGAGGGAACCCGGTATGTGTTCCCTCACCTCCCGATCTACTGAGCCGACCTGTGACAGTCTCATTGTCACAGGTCGGCTTAGAACTATGAGGTGAGTGGAAATCACTCATCTCATAGTTCTCCTTTAATACAAGGTTATACCGTTTTTATGATGGGCCTCATGACTGTAAGGGTCTGTTACCCATAACTTTTATTCCCCTTTACTGCACCACAAATATTGTTGCGGTGAATGCTACAGAAAATGAATACAAATCATCCTTCAGGCTACTTTGACTATGAAACCCAATGCCTTAAAGACTAGTTTGCCCTCTGCATGTTTGACAATGAAGCCCAATGTCTTACAGGAAATTCTTATTATTTAGACCATCTCATTTCTAAGCAATGGAATGACCATCACCTTCACTGGGACTAAAATCCATCACTGTCCTATGATACTCCTTATTTTTGTTGTTGTTTAGACATCAAGGACACCTGTACTGAAAGAAAAACAGTCTTCCCCTGCGGAGCTCCTAAAAATGCTAATTATGGGTCTCTTTTTGGGCTCCTGATTCTGAGTCACTCACTTTGAACAAACGGGCAAATCAAAAAAGTCAAGGTGAGTCAAAACTCCTGACCTACATACTTGTACCAGGTTGGTGACTCAAAATACTGAAGACACTGCATCAGCAGGACGGCTAAAGTATTTGGCTTTAGAGTTACCTCAATATGGCATTCTTCAGTGATAGAAGCAACTGCAAAAAAATGAAATCTTTGGAATTGTGCCCCTGCCCTGGGGAGAATGAGGGATGCATAGGGGTGGCCCATACGCAAAGTTTCCCAGATATTTAAATTTAAATACAGTTATTATTTTGAGGATCCCCAAGACCAAAACAGGACATCCCTTTTACATTCTGTTCCCATGTACATACTAGTCAATGAAGAGTTGTACCAGTACAATAAAACTGGTAAGTTACTTAAAAGGTAGCACTGCATTTTTTATACACAGTGTTTCGCATCATGGCAGTCAGCAATCTCATTTAAAATTACCTTTCTGACCATCTTTTATGTTACACCCATATTTAGGATGCAACATAAAACATGGTCAGATCACAAACCCCAATCCTGTCTACACCCCCTGTCCCACTTACCTCAATGGTTCGGTTCTTCTCCCCACAGGCTTGTATACATTTCTTTATTTGGTGCGGTTGTGCGGGGCTCACACACACAGTCATGTCATCCATTGACAGATCCTTTGACAGGATCTGTCAATGGAGACACCACAAGTCCTGTCTGTCCACTGAGGCAAAAGGACTAGTAATTATCAGTGGAATACAAGTAGTCCATTCATTGTTCCTCCTGTCCCTATTGCTGCATGTCCATACCTCAGCAGGAAGGAAGAGTCTGTGGGAGCCAGAGCTTCGCACCTATGATCTACTGATTGTGGTTGCAATGCTTTACTGACTCCTATGCAAAAAAATAAATGCACGTTTTTTCTTTTATGAAGAAGTGTGCATTTATTTTGATATTTTTCAAAAAGTGGAATTTCCCTTTAATACTCCAATTAAGTCAGATAGCAAACCCTTGTTTTCGTTTTGTACACTGAACACGGAAAGTGACCCGTTTCTCTGGACAGCCACATGTTTTCGCTGCAAAGCCAGAGAGCATGGCTTTGGAATTGAGTTTCTGTAGTAATCCTACCTCCTCCTCCTGTGTGCGATCAGTCCCACAAAACCAACCTCAGAACACGAGGCCTGCATAAATCTGGCCAGACTGTAGTGTTCTGACAATTCCTGCCTAATGAAAAGATTTCTTCAATTCATTACCATAGCCATTTTTACTCCTGTATACACATATGTCTTAATTAGCTGCTCATTGGCTGTTTAATTACAAGGAAGCAGCTGCCAGCTGCCAGCCTTCCTGTACCAGCCGCCATGCTGAGAAGACTCCGCTCTGGTGGGTGACAAGGAGACTCTCTGAAAGCTCTGTGATTTATCGCTGGCTGTGGCAGGATCCTCTGGCTCATTAATCTCTCAAATAGGACCAACAATTAAAATGTAGGCCTTTCTCTGACGGGTTTCCTCACTTCTGATGACCACGAGAACTAGACTTGCTCTCAGTGGATCCGCACACAGGCAAATTTCAGAAGGAGAGCCTTTTAAAACAGATATATCATTCCTGTCAGCCTGAGTGCCATGTAAATAAGCACATGTCAATATGGATGATAATTAGAGGCTAAGCAATTTATCCCGTCAATGAAAACAACTATTCCTCTGAGCGGCAACCCAAACCAAGCACGAAAAAACAGCAACTTTTCCCATGAAGGCTTGGTGGTATTGCACACCGATACAAAAGCTATGGCAAGAGGTTTTTCACATCTTTCAACTAGTGACCTCTAGTTCGATCACACCCTCCCCTAAGATTGCACTCCCCTCGATACTGCCTTGTTCAGTTCCTCGTAGCAAACGGGGTTTATTACGCTTTTTTATATTGGGGCGATTATTCCTCGTCATTGGAAAGCCTCAGTTTGCCCCATGATTTCTGACTGGGCCAAGAAATTGGTTCGTATTGAACGTATGGAACATTTAACAAAACAGGCCCATGATAGGACGAAGCAATATTTCGCCACTTGGACTACGTGGCTATTATTTGCAGAATCTGATGCGTTTCTACCTCTTTTGGGAACGGACTGTGATCCGCTAGATCAGTGAACTTATCAAGCTTTCATTATTGTCTGTGGCCCATTCTTCGCACCCATGGGACTTCTTTCTCTCTTTGAAAATGCAATCATCAAATAATTTGGGGAAAAGCTTACACAGAAAATACAACTCAATATAAATCAGAACGGAGCCTGTTTCCAGAGCAGTGTTTTTCAAACTAAAGGGAATAATACACTGCTTGGCCAAAATAAAAAGTCACACTAATATTTCACTGGACCACCTTTAGCGTTGAGTACACCGCACATTAGCCGTGGCATCGTTTAGATGAGCTTATGTGAGGTCACAACATTTAATTCCCTCCAGGGTTGCATTAATTTTTCACAAAGATCTTGTAGTGATGATGGGAGAGGTCGACCACTGCATGAAGTCTTCTCCAGCATAGCCCAAAGATTCTTAATGGGGTTAAGGTCTGGACTGTGTGGTGGCCAATCCATGTTTGAAAATGATGTCTCATGCTCCCTGAACCACTCTTTCACAATTTGAGCCGAATGAATCCGGGCAATTTCATTTTGGAATATGCCCGTGTCATCAAGGAAGGAAAAATCCATTGATGAAAAAACCTGGTCATTCAGTTTATTCAGGTAGCCAGCTGAACTCATTTTTTGGGCACATAATGTTGCAGAACATATACCTGTCCAGTGGAAGCAACCCCAGATCATAACATTGCCCTAAATACAGGTGGTGACTTTTTATTTTGGCTGGGCAGTGTATAACCTAGTTTAACCAGAATTCCAATTCTGCTTTGTGTACTAAGAGGGGCTATAACCATAAAATACAGGCTCTTTAAAGAAAAACTCCAGGAATTTATTTTTTATGCACCCTTGGAGTGGGGCTACCCCCGCACTGCAAGGGTTAGCTGCCCGTTTCTGTCCAGGTTTTTACAAAAAAGTTATACTCACCCAAAGCTCTGAGCTGGCTTCTTCTTGCACTACTCCTTCTTGTGTCTCTCCCCTTCCTCTGCAGCGGTCTAAGGTCCTGTAAATCATCATGTTTATACACTGTGTACAGATGTGACGACGCTAATGAAGATTCCAATGTGCTGTGTAGGAGCATACAGGCTGGAGGGAGCGCTGTGACAGCAGGCCGGCTCGAAGCTTCAGGTGAGTATATCTGTTGTTTTTGTCCCTAGACATAAACAAGCACTTAACCCTTGCAGTGCTGGGGTAGCTCCACTGCAAGGGTTAATAACAAGTTTTCCTGGAGATTTTATTTAAAGCAGCAGGTACATTTAAATGGCAAGACCGCAAGCATAAAAAGGTTGTCAACATGGCATTCTCTTTTGCATGCTTTGCTCCAATATAGCAGCCAATGGTAACCAACAAAAGTCATTTAATTCTTGGTGACAAAAGTCAGGGTTGTACTCTTCCAAGTATATAACCTTGCTGCTAAGAAAGTTCATCACAAAAAAAAAAAAAAATGATTCACATAAAATACAGCGTGAGATGAATATCCCAAAATGAATAAATACAAATAAATGGGGATATAAGAATATGCAAATAAATAAATAAAAAAATATAAAAAAAAAAAACAAATCTGTATTATACAAATTATTACAGTGAAATGATTATAAATCCATTGATTATATCAGTGCCTGTTTAAATATTCCACAAGTGCTGCATGTGAACAATGATGAATCCACAACCCAGATAGCAAGCAATTGAGCTGCAAGTTTGAAAATGACTTGCTAAACTATTGCAGACTTGCCAAGCTTCACAATTTTGTTGCACAATTACAGCAAGTCTGCATTGCAAGTCTCCAGACCAGCGAGCTTGCAGAGCTCTTGCTAAGACCTGCAGGACTCTTGCTGTAGACTTGCCAAGCAAATTTACTACAAATTCAAAAAGTGTCAACTAGAACTTGGAGTTCAGCAAGTTAACAAAATTACAATTTAAC